CTTGAGCGACGAAGAGAACTATATATAGAGATGCTATGATGAACTTAAGTGACGCAGAAAGATTTTGGCCGGTCACAAAGACTTCAAAACCTGAAAGTTGCATCCGCAAATGTAATCATGTTAATATAGAGAGCGTCATGGATTCTCTACCGTTGTTCAGTTTCACTTTTATTTGCTCTGTCTTGTCAATTCCACAGAGATGCTCCTAGCGGCAAACTGTTGTTTTGTAGATGACATGTGCATCAAATTTGTTAGGAATTATATTAATGGCTCGTATATAGAGGTAAGAATTAACACAATTGCACTTCTAAAACAAAAATCATTGGCAAAAAAATAAAAAAATAAAACAAGGTTACAAAGACAGTTTGTGTGGAAACACAAACTCAAAATCGGCCCTCGAAGTGGTCCACCCAGTCAGGCTTCAATATTTTCAGAAACAACATCCGAATGAAATTATATCAAAGACAAATCAGAGATAAGAATGGAGAAAGAAGGTTGACAGATCTTGTGTAGTACCCCAACGGTCCAGCAGATCAAAGGATAGGTGCAAGTGAATGCAAAGTTAGATGTGAACCTGGCCTAATTAGTTCCCCTTTCAGACCTTGTGGTCTATAGGGCAGATGATGTAAAGTTCATCTGTTTTTGTGGCCTAAGGTTAACGAGGGTGTCCAGTAGCCAGCACAGCAACCAACCGCCTTTACTTTTCCCCAACTAATATCAGGTATCCATTGGAGCTGGGTGGAATCAGAGGCGCCTAAGGATTCCGAAGAACGATTTCTTTCCTTAGTTTGAAATACCAAATAAGATACTATCAATAGTTAATTTATTAGCTTATTTTTACAATACATCTCTTCAAGTCAGAAATTAATGAAACCTAGATTCAGGAAGTTGAACTCTGAGCTCAAAAACGTCTCTGACGTGACGTTGGGTCTAGTGTTAGATGTAGAAAACTATACAATGAACATATCAATAAAAAATCGCTGGCCAAATCAGATAATGCGTATTTTTAGCCGCTGGCGGTGTCACGGGTACGATACCCAGATTAAACCAAATATTTAAAAACAAAAAATTATAAAATTATTTTATTATATTTGAAGTTTAATAGCGGAGGTAAAGTCTTAACAAATATTTTTAAAAATGCATTTTCTTGTTTTATATTGATTGTAATGTTGTCTGGTAAAAAAATAATGATTGTGCCAAATGTTCACTTGATCCGAGACTGGATGTGGGAGAAACAACGTGTGCAAACATTTTGCCAGACAAACAGAAAAAGTATCTTGATATAAGCTTTGTAGGGGTATTAAAAAAAATTACAAAGGGAAGCGTCCACCCATGGGTAGGGCCCACTGCATGGCACCTTGGTTTTAACCACTGGCGGAAAGGGTGGGCGAACTTCAGTAGAGAAATCCCACAGTTTGTATAACAATTCATCACTCGTGTTAATAATATAAACTGATTTTTTTTATATTTGAACCAATTTTAGATTATGCCGCCCCCACCCCTTAAATATGTTAAACAATTTGTGCTGGTGAAGTGTTTTTTTGTTTTTGTTTTTTTTAAGAATCGCAATTTGTGAACAGAATTAGTTGAAAACGATATAAGCTACTTATTAATGTTTAACCAGTCTGTAATTTACGTCGTCCCCTTTTGCTATGAAGGCCAATTCCTTGGGCCCCTTTGAGTGTGTGTGTGTGTGGTGGGAAATCCCTTATTCCTTCAGAAATCATTGTTTGTGATTACAATTAGTTGAACCTCTATACAATATAATTGTTATATATCGTGTCGCTCCTCTCTGGTTTTTGGACGATTCGGTGGCATGAAAAATGGGGAGGGGGTATTGCATCTACTGCTAAACGCGCCCTAACCCTTTGATTGGGGGAGGGGTGGACTAATGTTATGCAGAAATCACAGTATATGGACAAAATTAGTTGAATATCTATATAATATAAGCTAAATTCTTATGTCGCCCCCTATTCTTTAATTTCTAATGCAATCATTAGTAATAATTATGCAATAGGGAGAGGACTTTTACATGGTCCTCGTTTTCACCGTACCGCTTATCCCCCTCTCATACCAAAAACATGATTGTTCAAACATAATATTCAAATATGGCGACAGAGTAAACATAATATTCAAATATGGCGACAGAGTCTGTGTAATTACGCATGAATTAGCCATAATTATTTTAAAAGTACTTTGTTAAGGGAGATATAGAATTTTAAGTTGGCCTATACGAGTAACATATCATATGTTTTGAACTAAAATACTTTTTTCCCAACCATTACTCAATTTGAGATTTTTCTGTTGTTTAAATAATTTTGGGACTATAATTCACAATTTATACTTGGATCCTAAATATACACAAAATGTAGAGTAGAATCTAATTGATCCACTTTATTTCTCCTCACGCTTTCGAAATTAATTTGTTCAGAGCTTTGAATTAGACTTCCGCAAGAGGTCTCGCTTAGCATGATGATACTAATACGAAAAAAACGCCCTATAAAGATAATAAGATATACTTCAGCCTCAAATGTCAGTCACATTTACTTATCGATCATTGCTTCACGCGTTACTTTATTTTACTTAATTTTATTAGGATGAATATTGAGCTTTATATTGTTAAGAATCTCACTATCCAGGCTCTCTCCAAACTGCACCGTACACCATCAACTTGAAGAACTTGACAACTCAGGGCTCCAAAGTAACGTAACAGTTTAATGTCCGATAAATTGCAGCCAATAATGAACAATTGGCAACACGTAACACAGGCTGTACAAATATCTCTCTTTATCAACCGTACCGCCGTATCAACTCTTGCACTGGCCTCTCCGTCTCTCCTGGCTTGCACTGGGTTTAGTTCAGGATTGACTTCACACACTGGGCTCGTTGTGTCGGACTCGATCACAGACCAAGATCAAGAAGCCGTTCCTCTTGACTGTACTTGACAGTACTCCGCACTGAACCGTCGTAATGCTCCGTACAGAACCACACCGCTGAACCACACTGAACTGTTCCGTAGTCGACCGGACTGTTGTGAACCGTGCTCTCAACATCTTGACTGCGACACCTCCGCTCTTTATATAGGATCCTTGCTGGCCTTCTAGAACCGGACGGAACGTCGCTCGACCATTCTGGGTGGTCAGATGACTACATCCCTTGCGACGCTCCTGACCTCTGTTCACGACGCCGATCCTTCCCTAAACATCATGCTGACACTCGTCTCGGCTGACCGTCGTAACTCGTCAAGGATCGTCTAGCGCTGGCCTGGGGCAATTCGCGTCGGCTGACTACACACATACCACTACCCCCATCTGTGACGCTGCCAGGTTTATAACAATACGTCAGGAGAATGGATTTCTGTTGTAAAGAATGCAAGAAAAAAGAAAACGCTTGGCGTCATGGCTTCGCCTCAAACCCCGCTGAGGGAGCGAACATCACTCCCTTAAACCCTAGACCCCATTGCTCTCAAGAGAAAGGTCACCAACGTATTTCTTTTGTGTGCTGAAAATTATCAGCACTGCTCTAATTGAAATATGTACCATAATTTTTTTTCAAAATTTTCCCAGTTTATATATATATATATATATATATATATATATATATTATATGAAATCGTGAAAATTCGTGATTTTAGCCCTTCAAAAAGCTTTTGACATTGAACTGGTTAATGTTTTTATTGGACGAAAATTCTCTTCTACACATTCCAGGAAAGCTGTGAGGATCCAACACGTGACAAATCTAACCCAACCACGATTGAACAGCTTGTGCAAATCAAAGATAACTGCTCTGGGATACCAAGATTATGTAAGATATTTAGAAAACCAATTTTTTTCACCACCTTTATCTATTCCTTAGTCTGTTGGATCATTGGGGGACTGCACAAAATTTGTCGACAGTCTTTCTCCATACCTCCATGTCTTTTGTCTTGGAAAGCACCTCTTTTATGATGTCTTCCTATCGCTTTCTCTGTTTTCCTCTTCTACTTTTTTACTGGTACTGTTCCCTGAAGGAAGGTCTTTGCAAGCCACAAAGACATTGTGACATGACATAGCCTATGAATTTTAGTGTTTTTTTTTTACAATGTCTAGTAGTAACCCTGTCTATAATCACTTTGTAATGAGGTCTTAAAAGATAAAAAATTTAGTGTTATTTTTTTTTACTCTTTTGAACATTTTAATATGTATGTAAAGATAGAAAATGTAACTCTAAATATTGAAGAAAAAACTCTAAATACAAAGAGAAACTATAGATCAAAAAAAGAGTAAATCCTAGAAAAGAGAGAAAAAAATCTCAAATAATAGAACAAGAGAAAACTCTAAAACAAAAAAATTATTCAAACAAAGAAACTCTAAAAATAGAAAAAGAAAAAAAGAATCTCTTAAGAGAAAAAAGTGAAAAACTATGAGAACAAGTAATCATGAAACTCCATTTGAGTGAGGGCTTGAGATGATCTAATCCTCTCTTGCAAAAGCCCTGGACCGAAACTCTGCTAGTTTGCGTAGTGCATACATGTCACCATACAGGTCGAGAAGTTTTGGTTTCCGAGACCTGTTGAAACAGAGATCAGAAAGTTCGGGGAAGATAAAAAGAATATGAGGCGCGGTTTCCTCTTCTTCCCCGCAGCAGGGGCACCGTGAGTCAAAGTTTCTCCATAGCCATGAGAAATATGAGCTCAATATTATAATAGCTTGCTCAGGCCAGGACAGCCTGTACCACTGGAAAGTCAGGGCACCTCATGCGCTTCCAGACTCCAGGCTTTTTTGGGACGTCCTAGCACTCAAACTTGTGACTTGGCGGAGTTTAGGTCATTGGTTAATATGCATAACTAAATGCATGACGCGTAGGACGTAATCATCTTCTTTTTTGAAGTAACGCCTGTATTGTATAAGATAAGAAACTACCTTCCGTTTCTAATGTTTGGATTATAGCCAGAGCATGATAAAAAGTAACAGCCTGCTCGCTGGCTGGTGTTTGACCTCCCTAGTGGACCAAGCAGTCTGCAATCGTGTTGCCAGTCACATGTATGTGACTCAGTACCCACTGCTTGATCACAGGGGTGCAATAGCGTGTGATGAGATGAAAACAGCCATGAAAACAGTGTCGATATAGGGGGTCCATGATCCAGGGCTTTGCAAAGCCTGTTGTACAGGTTTTGAGTCAGTGACCACAGCAATCTGTGTTGCCATCAAATGTCCGCCGCCAACTTGTGAGTCAATGACTTTAAGGCTTCACAGATTGCTATCGCCTCCGCATCAGAACTACAAACACTACCACATGGCCCAAAGATTTTAAACAAGTCATAGCCAAGAAACTTGACGTATGCTCCATAGTTTGCTATAAGAAAAAAGTAAGAAACTCTAAGGAGAGAAAAGTGAGAAACTCTTAGGAGAGAAAGTGAGAAACTCTTAGGAGAGAAAGTGAGAAACTCTTAGGAGAGAAAGTGAGAAATTCTACAAAGAGAAAGTGAGAAACTCAAAGGAGAGAAAGTGAGAAATTCTAAGGAGAGAAAGTGAGAAACTCTCAGGAGTGAAAGTGAGAAACTCTAAGGAGAGAAAAGTGAGAAATTCTAAGGAGAGAAAGTGAGAAACTCTAAGGAGTGAAAGTGAGAAACTCTAAGGAGAGAAAAGTGAGAAATTCTAAGGAGAGAAAGTGAGAAACTCTAAGGAGTGAAAGTGAGAAACTCTAAGGAGAGAAAGTGAGAAACTCTTAGGAGAGAAAGTGAGAAACTAAGGAGAGAAAGGGAGAAATTCTAAGGAGAGAAAGTGAGAAATTTTAAGGAGAGAAAAGTGAGAAAATATAGAGAGAAAGTGAGAAAATCTACAGAGAGAAAGTGAGAAACTCTAAGGAGAGAAAGTGAGAAACTCTAAGAAGAGAAAGTGAGAAACTCTAGGGAGAGAAAGTGAGAAATTCTAAGGAGAAAAAAGTGAGAAACTAACTAGAGAAAATGAGATTCTAAGGAGAGAAAAGTGAGAAACTAAGGAGAGAAAGTGAGAAATTCTACAGAGAGAAAGTGAGAAATTCTACAGAGAGAAAGTGAGAAATTTCAAGGAAAGAAAGTGAGAAACTCTAAGGAAAGAAAGTGAGAAACTCAAAGAGACCAAAGTATAAAAGATAGGCCTACGAACGTTGAAATTTTCTCATTTTCTTTAAATTATTCTTTTCTGTCTGGTAAGAATGAAGGTTTGAACATTTGGGACTTCAGCTTGTCTGCGCATTGAATGCTATAGGTATAATGCCATAAGGCCCTATACCTTAAATAAAAACCCTAAATTTATCTCTGTTAAAGAACGATAATTTGTAAACAACTCAGGTCAACCAGTTTTCACAGTATGTTATACGTACATGTAGGTTCAACTGGTCAACCTATTGTCACACTCTATTTCTGTTTTCGTTAGAAAATATTTTAAATAAATGGAAGTAAACATTCGCCATGTTTGACATAGATCTAAATCCAATCCACTGGATCAGAGTTTCTTAAACTTTTTTGGCCCTTAATTCAGTCTAAATTTGCCCACGGAGCCCAAAGTAAAAAAAAAAACAAACCAAAAACAAGATAAGATGGTTTATGGCAGTGGTTCCCAAACATTTTCGTATCGTGGACCCCTTGAAAGTACTCCTAGATACCTGGGAGTCTATATAGACCACTTTGGGAATCACTTGTTTATGGTATCCTTGTTCAAACATTGGTTTTAAGTTCCAAATTTGTAAAAATATATTTCGATAAGCTGTTTTTCTAATAGTATGGATTTATCTATGACTGGGATCTGAGTCTTTCATCGCGCATAGCGGTTCAGTACCTAGTCGAGAATATCCAACTGAAGAATTGGTGTGTTTGGACGTCAGAGAACTCACATTGTGGATTTGAAACAGCCAATGAGATTGAGTTGATTATCATTCAAATTATACGATCGGATAAATTGGCTTTGAAGGAAGACAATATGTTAAAAGTATACAATATTCATCTTTCTTTGGACCCCATACGTGGACCATTTCGGGTTCATGGACTGAGAACAACTGCACTAGATCAGTAATACGCAAACTAAGAACCGCAGGCCTCGGGTCATACCCTAATAGCATACCGGAAAAACATTGGACAAATTTAAAACTCGCTTATCTTCTCTTGTCAAATTATTAGGTGACGTACACTTAAAAAAAAAAGTATTTTTTAATGTTTTAATGCTTGTTCTTCTTGTACAGTCCAACTTGTTTAGATTAGCCCTGAAATTTGGTTTAGTTATTTTTTTTTATTTTTTTTTCCAACAATCGGAGCACTTGTTTCCAAAATAAAAGCTCGATGTCCAGCCCAGTGTTTCTTTGCGACCGATAGCTAACCAACTGGACCTCGCTTAAGATAAACTCTTAGCAAGGGTTGAGCACTACGCACATATTACTGCGTACATCCAGTCGTTTCAATCTTAATATAACATTTCTTTTTTAATATTTTAATCTCTCAGTCTCTCTTTTTACTCGCTCTCACTCCATCAATATCAAAATTATCTGAAATTCAATAAGAAAATCAAGAAAAAAAAATACAAAGAATAAACATAAACTGTAATAGTATCAATGAGCTTAGATCAGTCATGTATTTGATGTAGACTGGGTGTTTCCTCAGGCTTTTATATATAATCCCCGCTTTTTAAGGGAGTTTTCGGCCTTGGCAGTCTGCTCCAATACTGAATTAAAACAACATCTTGGTCTGAAACTGTAACTGGAATATCCATGGGATAAGGTGGGGTTGGCCAATTCTCCGCCATCCACGGGTCTCTTCAAATGAAGCTATTTTGCAGTAGAGAAGCTTAAGGTGGACTGTGCCCTGGGTATTCCCTGTGGAATTGTCACATCCTGGATCCAGGCCCCTTCATGCTATCACATTTACCAGTTTATATCCAGTAGTAGAGCGTAGAGGGACATAGACCTACGTCAAAAAACACATAGGAAGGGGGGACTCCACTATTATTCACCTTAGTGAAATGAAATGCAAGTGGAAAGGTTATTATTATTCTTAGTCATTTCCAAGCCCCGATACCCACATGGCGGAGTATCGCCACAAAGTGGAGTTTTCCTGCTCAACCAATGGGCAACAGAAAACACAGGAAGAGCAATATACAAATAAATGAACATGCCTAACAAACTGGACAGTATTAACTTCCTCCCCCGCAAAGAGCAATCTACAACTGCAACTAAGGACAGGACACACACTTCTGAAAAATTATCATCTCAATAAAATAAATCCCACACAACTCCTCCTTTGCAGACACTGCGCCCACCCTTATGAAACCGTAAACCATATCCTAGTTGAATGTACCTTCCTAATCCACCTTAGGCAGACCCTACTACCACTACAGCCCAACATAACCAACACCCTGTACGGCAGTGCTGAACAACTGAAGAAAACAGCACACTATTTTTCCTTGTCTGCAAAAGAGCTGACAGCTTAGCAGTAAAACGCTGGCTAGAAGAAGAAGAAGAAGATCAGTCATTTAATTAAATGTGTAATAGAACTAGATGAACAACAATACATCTGTAACTCAAGATAACAACCTCTGCACATACAATCTCTACACAGCAACCCCCCACACAGAAACCATCCACACATTAACTTTCCACACAGCACCCATCCACACAGTAACTCTACACAAAGCTCTCCAAACAGTAACTGCATACGCATTATCGCTACACACAATGCTTCCTAATATCATGCTATTTAATTTTCCTATTCGCCTAAGCAAAACTAAATCTCAATTCTTTCAGATTTCATCGAGGCTACAAGATTTAATGATACATCGTATTGGTGGACAGCGGATAAAAGTGTTATCCTTCCTACGATGATGTTTTTAACAGTCATTCCAGCAGATCATAGCTGTGCACTATATGACAAAAACCAAGCCAAAATAAAAACGTCTACTTGTAGATTCAAATCCAGTTATATGTGTATATGTAAGGGTACACAAGATATACATTTTTTTTTTAGTTTTATTTTTTTTTTCAAGTTGAGATAATGAGCGGGTGGCATTACAACCGAGGGGAATTTGAGCTCCAAAGTTAAACTCCTGGTAAAGACTAGGATATTGAGCTTCTGAATTTTTACGACATCCCTAAGTTCATCCAACTCTAAACGACCGGACATATGATGAGAAAAAAAAAGATATGTTGATCGTTGTGCTGGCCACATTTACACCCTGACTAGCTGTCGAAATAGATGAACTTGAAATCATCTGTCCCCATAAATCACAATGCCTGTTACCTTCTGAACGTACAAACAAGCGATTATTTTGTCTTAATAAATAATTTTTTTAACAATACCTACTTCCCTCCCTCCTCCCCAGAGAGAGAGTATTGATTGATCGAATGTATAGATCTACGACCCTTAATAGTAATCCAATGATAGATCTTTAAAGGTAGATTTAGAAGACGATACACACATTTTACGTACACAATTGTTTTTTTTTAACATTAAACTTCATAATCTCCAAACGTAATAGTTCTCTCAAGAACGCGATAGTCCTTTCGAAACCGATTTAGACTCTAGTCCTAGATCTACTTCTCTAGCCAAATCTAAATCTATTTCATTTTCGTTTTCACTTTGAAAAATTGCAACGGTCAAACTTACGTTTTCCCAGCGTGACTGTCGAGTAATTCATTTCTCAGCGATATACATCTACATTTCTAGGAAAAATTGTTGTACTGTTTTTGAGATCAAGCCTTCACCACCGAGGTTCCCCCCACCCCCGTATAGTTGCGACCTGGATAGAGGTATTGTACAAAGAATTATGCATCGGTACAACTGGCGGAACCGGAACTGTATGCGTGTGTGTACTTGGGGAAGGGGGGAGATTTAGTTCACCTAACCCTAAACCCGTGTAAAGTCTACGCTCTAACGCTATGTACAAATACACACACACATACACACACACACATATATATATATATATGTATCACTTTCATTACTTTCATTTTTTATTTTTTCATTTCGTTTTTTTTAGGTGAAATTTCAATACTAAACCTTTACTTGCACCAGAACAGCCAAGGGGTTTTGATTTTAAACCCCCGCCAGCGGGGATGGAAGCTAAAAAATAATTCTTCAATTTAAATTTGAGTTTAAATCTCCCTTCAGAGAGGTTTGATGCTAAAAATTACCTCTTTTATAAAAAAAAAATTATGCACTAAAATTCTTTGAGCATAGCCAAGCTAATGGGGGGTTTTAAGTTTAAAACTCCAACCTCCTGATGGCTTTTTAAAAGTTTACCCCCCCCCCCCCAGATGGCTTTGTGTTTAAAATCTCCTTACAGAGCGTTTTAAGGTTGAAAGCCTCTCTCTTAAATATTATTTCTAAAGCAAACTACAATCACCAAATTCTATGACTGTAGCTAAATGCGATTTTGAATTATATATAAAGCCTGGGCATTGTTTATGGTCGAAACGATGTCGCCTACACAGCAATTCCCCATTCTTCGAGCAGCTGATGTGACGAAAGGAACGGAACATCCGATACAGTTTGGAATCAGTAGCGCCACAATCTGTCTAAGGGTCACCAGCTCCTAATTTTTCCTCAGGGTTGTCTCCCGAAGCCTTTCCCGCGTTTGGGTATAGCCGCAAGGCAGCGGAGGTTTCGATTCAGAGTTTTCCTTCTCCTAGATGGGTAGCCAACCAAGACTAACGAGCCCCTCCTGCCTGAAGCTTGCTGGTTTAGGCGCCAGTTGCTCTCCTTTGCCCCTTCTTCTGTCTGTGGTAATGGTTTCGCCAGACTCATTATCTGAACCACACGTGAAGACCAGGAGTTGGACTGGTTGTCAGAGACTATTTGAGTCGCATGACATTGGAAGCATTTTATAGGCATTTTTTATGGGCTTAAGACCATTACCATTTCCGGCGTTAACAACCTTGCGGAACACAAATATATATAAGAGCAAAGTTCTTTATCTTCGGTGGAAAAACTAAGTTAGTTCCCCTTCTTTTAGACAACTAGGGAGTTTGGTTAGCGCTGTTAACTTACCTCCAGCGGGGTTCTGGATGAAGCCTTGACGCTAAGGGTTTTCTTGCATTGTAAGATTAAAAAAAAAAACTAGCTTCCTGACGTCTCCAGCACATATTTCGTTAAAACAAACAAAAACAAAGTTACAAGGGCAGTTAGTGTGGAAACACAAACACAAAATCGGCCCTCGAAGTGGTCCACCCAGTCAGGCTTCAATATTTTCAGAAACAACATCCGAATGAAATTATATCAAAGACAAATGAGAGATAAGAATGGAGAAAGAAGGTTGACAGATCTTTTGTAGTGCCCCAACGGTCCAGCAGATCAAATGATAGGTGCAAGTGAATGCAAAGTTAGATGTGAACCTGGGCTAACTAGTTCCCCTTTCAGACCTTGTGGTCTATAGGGCAGATGATGTAAAGTTCATCTGTTTTTGTGGCCTACGGTTAACGAGGGTGTCATGTAGCCAACACAACGACCAACCGCCTTTACTTTTCCCCAACTAATGTCAGGTACCCATTAGAGCAAGGGACTCAGAGGCGCCCAAGGATTACGAAGTTGAAAATCCCAGTCTTCACCAGGATTCGAACCCGAGACCCCGGTTCGGAAGCCGAGCGCTTTACCGCGCCTCTTTTCATTGATGTAATTGTTTTGAAAAGGTTCAATCTCTTATAAAAAAATATATGCGGTCCATTGAGTCCAACGACAAAGTTCAGAAAAATTAGGTTTATAACATTATTGCTCGTTTAAAACCTAGTCTAACTTATAATGCATACTAATTAGCTTTTTTTCTTTAAAAAACTGCTGGAATAACTGATTTTAAAAATTATTTTTCGCTCTCAGAAAAAAAACTAGCCGTTCCATTAGAACTTTGAATGGTCTAAAATATTGTGATGTCGGATTTTCCATATGTTTTCTAGTTTACGAGATCTAAATGGGACGGACGGACAGACGGACAGACATTTCACACAAAACTAATAGCGTCTTTTCCCGTTTCGGGGGCCGATAAAAAAGGTATGTTAAAATAAGTAAAGGGCTTCTGTAATAGCTAAGGGTTCTGGGGGTTCGCAGAACGTTCCTTCAGCAGGGTTGGGATTGGAGCCCTGACGCCACCTTTGCTTTTTTTCAATA